GGAAACTAAACGCGATTTTCTGCACGTCTCCACAAACACTTCCAGATTCGGGCGTTGAGGACTTTTGGTATAAGGTGGGAACACGATCGCCCCATTTGTCTTTTTTCGCAGGAAACTAAACGCGATTTTCTGCACGTCTCCACAAACACTTCCAGATTCGGGCGTTGAGGACTTTTGGTATAAGGTGGGAACACGATCGCCCCATTTGTCTTTTTTCGCAGGAAACTAAACGCGATTTTCTGCACGTCTCCACAAACACTTCCAGATTCGGGCGTTGAGGACTTTTGGTATAAGGTGGGAACACGATCGCCCCATTTGTCTTTTTTCGCAGGAAACTAAACGCGATTTTCTGCACGTCTCCACAAACACTTCCAGATTCGGGCGTTGAGGACTTTTGGTATAAGGTGGGAACACGATCGCCCCATTTGTCTTTTTTCGCAGGAAACTAAACGCGATTTTCTGCACGTCTCCACAAACACTTCCAGATTCGGGCGTTGAGGACTTTTGGTATAAGGTGGGAACACGATCGCCCCATTTGTCTTTTTTCGCAGGAAACTAAACGCGATTTTCTGCACGTCTCCACAAACACTTCCAGATTCGGGCGTTGAGGACTTTTGGTATAAGGTGGGAACACGATCGCCCCATTTGTCTTTTTTCGCAGGAAACTAAACGCGATTTTCTGCACGTCTCCACAAACACTTCCAGATTCGGGCGTTGAGGACTTTTGGTATAAGGTGGGAACACGATCGCCCCATTTGTCTTTTTTCGCAGGAAACTAAACGCGATTTTCTGCACGTCTCCACAAACACTTCCAGATTCGGGCGTTGAGGACTTTTGGTATAAGGTGGGAACACGATCGCCCCATTTGTCTTTTTTCGCAGGAAACTAAACGCGATTTTCTGCACGTCTCCACAAACACTTCCAGATTCGGGCGTTGAGGACTTTTGGTATAAGGTGGGAACACGATCGCCCCATTTGTCTTTTTTCGCAGGAAACTAAACGCGATTTTCTGCACGTCTCCACAAACACTTCCAGATTCGGGCGTTGAGGACTTTTGGTATAAGGTGGGAACACGATCGCCCCATTTGTCTTTTTTCGCAGGAAACTAAACGCGATTTTCTGCACGTCTCCACAAACACTTCCAGATTCGGGCGTTGAGGACTTTTGGTATAAGGTGGGAACACGATCGCCCCATTTGTCTTTTTTCGCAGGAAACTAAACGCGATTTTCTGCACGTCTCCACAAACACTTCCAGATTCGGGCGTTGAGGACTTTTGGTATAAGGTGGGAACACGATCGCCCCATTTGTCTTTTTTCGCAGGAAACTAAACGCGATTTTCTGCACGTCTCCACAAACACTTCCAGATTCGGGCGTTGAGGACTTTTGGTATAAGGTGGGAACACGATCGCCCCATTTGTCTTTTTTCGCAGGAAACTAAACGCGATTTTCTGCACGTCTCCACAAACACTTCCAGATTCGGGCGTTGAGGACTTTTGGTATAAGGTGGGAACACGATCGCCCCATTTGTCTTTTTTCGCAGGAAACTAAACGCGATTTTCTGCACGTCTCCACAAACACTTCCAGATTCGGGCGTTGAGGACTTTTGGTATAAGGTGGGAACACGATCGCCCCATTTGTCTTTTTTCGCAGGAAACTAAACGCGATTTTCTGCACGTCTCCACAAACACTTCCAGATTCGGGCGTTGAGGACTTTTGGTATAAGGTGGGAACACGATCGCCCCATTTGTCTTTTTTCGCAGGAAACTAAACGCGATTTTCTGCACGTCTCCACAAACACTTCCAGATTCGGGCGTTGAGGACTTTTGGTATAAGGTGGGAACACGATCGCCCCATTTGTCTTTTTTCGCAGGAAACTAAACGCGATTTTCTGCACGTCTCCACAAACACTTCCAGATTCGGGCGTTGAGGACTTTTGGTATAAGGTGGGAACACGATCGCCCCATTTGTCTTTTTTCGCAGGAAACTAAACGCGATTTTCTGCACGTCTCCACAAACACTTCCAGATTCGGGCGTTGAGGACTTTTGGTATAAGGTGGGAACACGATCGCCCCATTTGTCTTTTTTCGCAGGAAACTAAACGCGATTTTCTGCACGTCTCCACAAACACTTCCAGATTCGGGCGTTGAGGACTTTTGGTATAAGGTGGGAACACGATCGCCCCATTTGTCTTTTTTCGCAGGAAACTAAACGCGATTTTCTGCACGTCTCCACAAACACTTCCAGATTCGGGCGTTGAGGACTTTTGGTATAAGGTGGGAACACGATCGCCCCATTTGTCTTTTTTCGCAGGAAACTAAACGCGATTTTCTGCACGTCTCCACAAACACTTCCAGATTCGGGCGTTGAGGACTTTTGGTATAAGGTGGGAACACGATCGCCCCATTTGTCTTTTTTCGCAGGAAACTAAACGCGATTTTCTGCACGTCTCCACAAACACGTCCAGATTCGGGCGTTGAAGACTTTTGGTATAAGGTGGAAACGCGATCGCCCCATCCTCTTGTTCTTTTTTTCGCATCTCACTGAGTGGTGGATCGAGCGCACGACGAACAGATTCGTTCTGCACTCTGAGAACACTTTCCCTGGCTTCACGTTCTTCTCGCTCGTCCCGGCGGAACTTCCGTCTGCACTCGAATAGAGCACGTGTTCAGTAGCGCTGTATGTATGCAGACTGGAACTTGCCACAGATTCAGCTGCAATGACCGGGCGTTCTATTCGCACGAAAGACGGTTGTTTAATCACCACGTACAGGTGCCTTTTTCTTTCTCTGATCAGACTCTCATGAATCGTCTTCCCCGCCTACGGGTCCTTCTCGGCTTCTTTCATCCTTCGAGGGCCTCTCTGCACCAGAAACGACTACGAAGGGCCTCGTGAGGGCCTCGTTTCACACAACTTCACTTGACGTGGAACTTACTGTAAGTGCGGCTCTAGAGCCTTAATCATGTTTAGCCTTAATCATGATTAAAAATTTACTAATCAGGGTTCTCGATCCACCCATCTCTCGAAATCGCCCTTGGGAAGCAACAACTGGCCAACCGGGATAACTAAAGCACCTCAACTGAGGGGGAGCAATAACGATTTCTTACCTTTCCCGCCAGAGGCCGTTTTCAAGAATTTCAAAGAATGTTCAAGTCCTCTCCCTCCTCCCCCCCCCCTCCCCTTGGGTGACTTGGAAAATCTCTGCCCGATTTGCTAATCGCCAGTGGCGCACTTCGAACGCAAGGACAGGTTGGAAAAGGCGGGCAAATTACTGTAATTGCCCTCGCAAAAGGCGGGGAGATTACTGTACTTACCCTCGGAAAAGGCGGGCAAACGATTGTAATTGCCCTCGGAAAAGGCGGGCAAATTACTGTAATTGCCCTCGGAAGCGAGATTGGGCGATGTGGAACAGTGCCCGACCGACCGATCTGGGATATCTTTCCACGTTGTGGCGGGAAATGCGTTGTCCGTTTTGCAGATTTTGGTGAAGGGGGGCAGTATGGCTGCACTCAAGGTTTCCTGAGCTTCCCGTGCAAGGCCGTTACCTCTGCCAGCTCTCCTTATTTTGCGCACCGCCGTCTTCCACCGAGCTCGCCTAGGCCTCGGTCGTTGTCGACATCGTCGTTTTCCCCTGGTCTTCTTCATCTGCGCCCCTCCCTACCTTCTTCATCTGCTTTTCCTTGACCGAGCCCATCCGAAGTCCCTCTTTTCCCGACTTTCACTTTATTATTATTACTAGTAATTACAGTAGTATGCCCTCCTTTGGTCAAATTGGCGGGACTCGTGACTACTTCCCGTTTGTGCATTCAACTTTGACGTTCCTGGCCGCAATTTCGGTGTTTTTTGAACCGAAATCGTCAGGGCTGAGCGGGTTCCCGCCGGTAGGACCTGATGATTTCGGTTTTAAAAAAAGGCCGAAATGGCGCCCAGGTACGTCCAAGTTGAATGGCCAAAGGAGGACGTGGCGAGATGTAGAACTATACCGCTCATCAAACTGGCCAGGTGCGGAGCATTGTTGTTGTTCTATAATAGTGTATGCGGCTGCTTTGATGGCCAATGGGGGATTGTCGGTATACATACATGTAGAATGTGGCAGTAGGAGCCGGGAGTCGTTCACTGTGCGATAAAAACTGTGTGGGGAGTATTTCGGTGTGTGACAAAAACTGGGAGACCGACTTATATGTAGGACTCCTGCTTGCAAGCCAAAATCACGGTCGTTAGCGATGTATCTGGACTGAAAGCTGTCCCAATTACGGCAGCTACTAGGCCGTGCCTTCTATTCGGGGGGGAAGACGGTCGACCAGTGGAGGACATAACCCTGGTTGCCGGAGACAGTCTTCCCCCGAATAGAACGCACGGTCCTAATTTGGCACATCGCTCAGTCTAGATTCAGCGACAACGACCGCCACGAGTTCTATTCGCAGGACGGCTGTAAGCTTCAACCCCATTCTACCATCGATCTGTGCCCTTTAGCGATGTATGTCGTGGAAAAAATCGAACCCTTGATATGCATACGTGGGCGTAGATCGGCGGTCGTTATGGTGGAATCGAACCCCTGAGGTTTATGTACGTAGACGTAGATGTGCATGTTAGGGCGGAGTCGAGCCCTNCCCCCCCCCCCCCCCCCCCCCCCCCAAAAAAAAAAAAAAAACTGGGCTTAGGGTCGGGGAAATGCAACTTTTGGTTTGTCAAAATAGGTCCGGATGCACTATTACCTCCAAGCTATTTTTTCCCAATGCGCAATTTTGCCCAAAACTGTCGCTTTGTTGCGGGCCTACCAGACAGTGCCAGCCTTCTTCTTCTTCTTCTTCTTCCTCGTCTTCTTTTTTCTTCTTGATCTGGCAGTCCAAGCCTTTCTGTGGCACCGTGTTAGGGAAGGGATACTGGTGGTTCAAGATATGCTGATGGATCTACAAGAAAGGGGGAAAAAATCTGAAAATAAAAAAAAAACAAAAAAAAGCAAAAAAAAAGTATTAACCATGTTGGTTAGTTGCCTGTGCAGTTTCGAGTCTGCTGCAGTAGCATCTGAGCAGGCAGCTCGCTTGGATCGCGAGAACAAGGAAATTGCAAGGACCATGAAAAAGGTAGGAGAAGGACGTCAATCACTGAATCATCTTTCGTAGTTTTATTGAAATAAATGGCTCCCGCTATCCTAGGCTTTCCCACATTATTTCCTTTTATTTTTCCTGTTTTGATGAGCAAACCTGGCATGTTTGTGGGGTTGTTGTTGTTGTTGTTGTTTAATAAGTTTGCAACTTTGCGCACTTGCTAAATCTCCGCACAAGTGAAAACTCAAGAGAAAGGTCGACCTCAAGAGGACATGCGTGCCACACGCCTGGGATTGAGGTTCGATTGCTTGAAACCCTGAAACAGATTCAGTCTTTCACTTCGGTAATGCTTGTTGAACGGCATGTCAGCCCCCCCCGCTCATAGATTGGAGCGCCCGAGCTGGTTGCTATGGGGGGGAATGCTCATATCACTCCCCATAGTAGTTTCAGCTCAGATCTTTCTCCGAAAGATAAAAAGGAAAAAAAAGAAAGAAGAAAAGCATGTAAGCTGCTGCTCATAGTGAACAACCCAGAAGTCCGTCTCCGAGCCCAATTCAACTCAATCGTACGAATCGTAGGCAGTTGGCCCTGCCTCCCTTAACCCCATTTTTGTTTTTTATGTATTTCAACTGGATTCGAACTTGGGTCTGGGTTTGAACAGTTCAAGGGTGTACCAGCTGAGCTAGGGCCCTGCCTCCCTTAACTCTATTTTTCTCCTTGCAAAGACCACGAAAGATGCGCTTGCTGGCCTCAGTCCTGACTCCTGAGAGGCCTTGTGGTACACGTGCGTGAGACCGCACTTGCTGCAGCAGTGTCCATCATCATGGTTAGCCATGACAGTTCTCGGCCCGCATTCTGGATTAAGTCACTGCTTCCGAAGACGAGTGACCTGCAATCAGACTTGTCTTCTTCCTCCTCAGCATGCTTGCAAACAGATGACGATCGAACTCAGCACATAACGCCCACACAAAGCTCAGAGATAAATGTGGCCAAGAACACAGCTCAGATTCAAACTTGTCTTTGATGGCTATGGCGCAGTGCGCCAGACAAAGATTCCCACCTGATCAACTGTATCTGTTACGGACTCAGCCAGGGTTCGATCCCTGGTCCGCGGGTTACCACCCGCCAGGCTGCTATTTTATTAGTAGTTCCTGATCTCCGGTTCTTGACTGCTGGCGCCCTCTGGAGTTGGCGCCCGTTCTCGAACCCCTCCACTGGCACTTTCGGATTTCGATATTTGGCGCCATCCGGAATTTTGGCGCCCAGACGGAGACCTGCGATCCTCAGTTCAGTCCTGAGGCAGGCCGCACCTCGGCCCTCCGGACTGMGCCTGAGTCCGGTACTTAAGTCCGGACTCAAGCCCCGTTGCGGCATTCGGTCTTCGGCCTYAGTGCTTGTGCTTCAGTGTGACTTGCAGCGACTTTGTGTTCAGAATCCAAGATTGCGACTCTGCGACTTTGAGACTTTGTCACTTCGTGTCTGCGTCCGTCGTGTCGAGTCGAGTCCGTGTCCGAGTCGATTGAGTGTGTGTGTGCGCTMTCACTCTCTCCCTCTCTCTCTCTCTCCCTCGCTCTCTCTGCTCTGCCTTGGTCTCATCACACTGGTATCGGAGCGGCGAAACGACCCTCCCTCCCGCCCTGCTCCGGTGCCACCAAGTCGCACGTCGTCATGTTGAATACCTTCGCCACATCGTCTCCATTGAAGGTATCCGCATGGACCCATCAAAGGTCACCGCCCTCGTCGAGTGTATCCACCTCCCAAGACCCTACTCCAACTCCGATCATTTCTCGGCCTTGCCAACTACTACCGCCCCTTTATCTGCAACTTCTCCGACATCTCGTACCCTCTCCACGAACTCACCCGCAAGGACGAACCCTTCAGTTGGAACGACCGCCGCCAAAATGCCTTCGATGCCATCAAACAACTCATCACCACCACCCCTGTCCTCAAGATCGCCGACCMCACTCGCCATTTCTACGTCACCACTGACGTCTCCGACTTCACCATTGGAGCCRTCCTGTCCCAACATTTCCCTCGTGACACCTCCGAAACTCCCTCCATCAAGGAATCCCCTACCCATCCCGAGGTCTCATCGGGCGAATACCCCATTGCCTTCGCCAACAAGAAGCTCCTTCCCGCAGAAATGAATTACCCCTCCAACGAGAAGGAGCTCGTCGTGATCCACGCCCTCAAAGTCTGGCGCCCGTACCTCGATGGGCAATACTTCACCATCTGCACGGATAACACCATCGTCTCTTCTATCCTAACAAAGAAAGACATTACCCCACGACAAGCTCGCTGGTTAGACTTTCTCGCCCAGTTCACCTTCAGCATTTGCCATACACCCGGCAAAAGCAACTGTGTTGTCGATGCCCTCTCACGGCGCCCCGATCACAAACCCCCAGACGAAGTTTACGCCACAATGACACATATCCAACTCCTCTCGTCTCTTCATCATCGCTACACCCAAGGCTATCTCTCTTGCCCAGACTTCGCCACCATCTACAACAAGCTTCGTGACCTCAATCYTGTTCCCGACTACTCCCTCCAAGACAATCTCCTTTACATCGATACCAAAGGCACTCGCCGACTTTGCATCCCTGACGCACGTGGTCTCCGTACCCATCTCTTGGCTGAACACCACGATGCCAAGACTGSCGATCATCTTGGGTTCCAGAAAACATTTGACACCATTTTCCGCTACTTTCACTGGCCTTCCCTACTCGCCGACGTCAAAGCATACATCCGCTCATGCTCCATGTGTCAAGTCGTCGACCCCTCGAACCGCGCCAAGCCCGACAAGCTACAATCATTGCCGACCCCCACCSACCAGTGGCAGTCCATCTCCATGGACTTTGTCTGCAGTCTCCCCAAGACCGACCGCGGACATGATTGCATCTATGTCATTGTTTGCCGCTTGACTAAACGCGCCCACKTCATCCCTTGCACCACATCGCACAACGCCAAGGAAGTTGCCATTCTGTTCTTCGACCATGTCGCTCGCCATCACGGTCCCCCCGAGAACATCATCAGCGACCGTGACCTTCGCTTCCTTTCACAATTCTGGAAACACCTCTTTAAAGCCTACGGAACCACGCTSAAGTATAGCACTGCATTCCACCCACAGACCGATTGACAAACCGAGAAGATTAACGATACTCTCCAAAGAATCTTGCGGAAGTATTGTCATCCACATCAACACGATTGGGATCAGTTGCTCACCGCCGCCAAGATCGCCTACGACAACGTTGTTTGTCGTTCCATTGGCATGACTCCATTCTACCTCCCCCGCGCCTGCCCTCCGATTTCCTGCTCCCCTCGCAACTCGACCCCTCCAGTCCCTGCCCTTCTCTCAATGAATGGGTAGCAACAATGAATCGACTCCTCAGAGAAGCAACCGAAACCCTTGAAAGAACACAAGAACAACAAGTAAACAAGACTAACAAACACCGACGTGACTTGCAATTAAAAGTCGGGGACAAAGTCTAGCTCCCCGCCAGACGCTTTGAACCCGAACACAGCTTGTCCAAAAAACTCTCGAACAAGTGGCTCGGACCTTTCCCCGTCATTGAACAAACCTCCCCCGTCAATTACAAACTCCAACTCCCCCTTGACATGAGTCGTGTCCACCCGGTCTTCCACGTCGAATACCTAAAAGAATACCATGAATCCCCACCCCAATTCGCTGACCGCCCATATCCTAGACCTCCACCAATCATGTTACCCACATGCCTTGAATTCGTCGTCGAAGCCATCATAGGACGAAGAACTACTCAGGTATCTSATCACCCGGAACCAATCACAGAATACAAAGTTAAATGGACAGGATACCCTGACGAAGGATCTACATGGGAACCTCTTGCTAACCTTAAGAATGCTATGAAGCTTGTTCGCGYGTGCTCACCCTATACCCTTAATACATAATATAACTCAAACCCCGAACCCTTGCATAAATCCCGCCTCGACCCCGCCCAAACCCCGCATTCCTGCTCTACACATACCCTTGTACCCRGCAAAACCCTTGCCTCGTGAACCCCCCCTGTCTAATCCGCTCTTGCCTCCGCCCCGCCCCGTTCTCCTATCCGTCCTCCGCCACATCCTTGTCTCTCTTGTCCAAGTTCCCTATGTGGCCCTTGCTCGKCGCCGACGATAATGGATCCAATGGCAAGCCCACGAGGACRATGGCATGCTGCAGCTCCGTTCGAGGARATAAAGCAGTTYGAGGACGCCTCATGCTACTGGGACATTCAAGCTGGAGCCCCATTGACGATGTCCTCAAACGACTGAAGACTGTTCCCTCGTCGATACTTCTACGACTCTTCTCAAGACTTGTTCCCAAGACTTTCGCATAACCACTACCCAGAAATTTTGCAACCATACCCTTGAAAACCKTTAGTTCATCAATAGGACCACCCTGTTCCCCGCAATTCCAAAACCCATAGTACATCAGTAGGATTACCCCGTTCCTCGTTATCCCTAAACCTTTAGCTCAATAATAGGACCACCCTGTTCCCCTCAGTTCCTAAACCCTTCGCTCATCTGTAGGCTTGCCMCGTTGTCCCTAAGCCCTTAGTCCATCAGTAGAACTACCATGTTCCCTTAGCTCATCAATAGAACAACCCTGTTTCAAGCTCACAATGACAAGCCCTGCTCCCTAATCACACAACCAGACACCTGCATTATACCCCTCTTCCCTTGTGACTGGCTGACCAGTGATCGACCCCATCCCGTCCTTCGCAGTTTCAGCATCGTCTCATGACTTTTGGCAGCCGGGACGTTGCCTTCTAGAGGGAGGGGATAGTATTATGGGCTCAGCCAGGGCTCGATCCTTGGTCCCCGGGTTACCACCCGCCAGGCTGCTATTTTATTTTTGAGTTCCTGATCTTCGGTTCTTGACTGCTGGCGACCTCTGCAGTTGGCGCCCGTTCTCGAATCCGTCCACTAGCACTTTCGGATTTCGATACTTGGCGCCATCCGGCATTCTGGCGCCCAGACGCAGACCTGCGATCCTCAGTTCAGTCTTGAGGCAGGCTGCACCTCGGCCCTCCGGACTGAGCCTGAGTCCGGTACTTAAGTCCGGACGGGAGCCCCGTTGGGGCATTCGTTCTTCGACCTCAGTGCTTGTGCTTCAGTGTGACTTGCCGCGACTTTGTGTTCAGAATCCAAGATTGCGACTTTGCGACTTTGAGACTTTGTCACTTCGTGTTTGCGTCCGTCGTGTCGAGTCGAGTGAGTGTGTGTGTGTGCTCTCATTCTCTCCCTCTCTCTCTCTCTCTCTCCCTCGACCTCTCTGCTCTGCCTCGGTCTTGTCACAGTATCCACCAACAACTTATTCACACGCACACACTCCTAGATCACCCTGGATGTCCCGCACACTCACAGACACTACACACAAACTAACTCCCTACCACTAACCTACGAGCAGCTATGGCTCCCGTCTTCTTCCTCCTACTATGGCCGCATATCCTCCTCTTAGCCCACTTCTTCYTCGGGCACTTGCAGACCTTCGTACACAAGACGCCCCGTCAGCGCTTCGGCATGGCTCACAAGCAGAATGAATGAATGACTCGATGCTGCCTCTATATTTATACTTYGGATTGTCGCTGGTCTGCCTGTGGACCTGGGCCCTGGGCATACACAGTCCTACATGGTACTTGCTGACTTGACGAAGTGCAACCTAGGACTGGGTACCGCTGACTAGGATAGGTAGGAYTGGGACTGCCCTTTGCTGACTGTGCTAGGACTGCCCTCTGCTGACTCAGACGCGGACTGACTCCTAGGACCTACGAAGGGCCAGTCTATAGYTTCTAGAAGGTCGTGGACTTGGCCTTTTGGAACTGTAGCGGATACGACCTATTCTGCTAAGACTCCTAAAACACAGACCTACTTGTCAAACCCCACGACCACACTATTTACAACAGCCAAACAAACGACTTTTGGGGTACAGGTCGTGGGTTCAAAACACACGGGTCAACAGGTACTGTACAMGGGTTATGGGGGAGGTCKAGGKATCGAGCCCTGGGTACTGCATCTGTCACCGTAACAGGTGAAAACCGTTTCACTCCCGCCGGYCTAAATTTGAGGTCCTCCGAAAATACAATGCACGACAGGACYGTTACCTTTCCTTTCTCTRTCATAAGCATGAACAATGTTGGGAGTGGTCTCTAAGAGTTCAGTTCTTTAAACCATCGGCCGTCCTCCCGTTCCTGATAAGCGAATCTGACTTTGTATTGTTTATGTGGACGACCTCTACCTTCGGTTCTAAACACATCCTCTYYTACAATGCGATCTATGTCGTATGTGCCATCCATATCCGRCGGAATCATTTTTGATCAACGCGACCAAAATTGCTGATTGGTGACACGAGGTAACAACTTGGATGCATGGAAGTCTGGATACGTGTGGAGGTGTGACGGAGTTTCTACTGTGCAGAAAGGTCCGTCGTCTCCGCCCTTCACTTCTAGGACAGGCCGCAGTCCCCTATACGCGGGCAACAACTTTTGTGAGATGTTCTCTTCTGGGGCGAACTCGTTGGACTTGACCCAGACTAAGTCACCTACCTGGAACTGTGATGGCCGACGATGCTTATTGGCTTGTTCTATCATCTTGTGCAATTTCCTTCTCATGCTGTAGCGCAAACTCTCTAGTTTCGGGTGGCAGTCTTTATATCTGGTCACAATTCCTTCAAACGGCCTGCATGGTCTAAAGGACTTGTGCAACTCGTTGGGAGCTCAGCAGGTAGCTAGATGGACACTGTTATTGTAGGCACTAGCTACGTTAGGGAGCATCTCATCCCAATTGATCTGATCTGGTCTAATGTACATCCTGTATCTGCTGCAGGATCTTATTCACCTGTTCAGTCTGACCGTTAGTCTCTGGATGACGGCCAGAGGACATCAACAACTTCGAGCCATAGACTCGCATAAGTTCCTGCCAATGCTGACTAGTAAACCGGGTATCTCTATCGCTAATTATGGATAGTAGAATACCATGCTCACTTGCCCAGGTATGTACGTGCCTCAAAAGGCAAAGGAATAAAAACCGCATACTTGCTAAAACGGTCTCCTATGACCATGACTTGACTCTTGCAATGCCTACTTCTGACCCCAACATCCATAAAGTCAATGGACAAAGATTGTCCGGGTCTTCCATCATGACGCTCAATGTTCTGCTGACGGATTCTTTTTTTATTTTTTTTATATTTTTTTTATCATTGTAATTCGTTACGAAACAACAAATCGAGGTCGGGGACCTCACAAATCTTCCCGGAGGTGTCCTGGGAGCATTACCCAGTTTCGCTTGCAGCAGCCATCAGGGCTGGGCACAACCAAAACATCCAAATTTCAGGGACTTAGAAAATAACAAGGCACAGAAATTATCCAATTCTGGGCTGCTGTCCTGAAATCTCGAACCCTGGAAACTAAGCAACGCCACAGGCCATAGAAGCCAAAATGATGATGATGAATCTTTCACCCCTCGATGTGATGGCATCTTGCCACGGATAATACTTCATTAGTTAAGGAGAGAGAGTTGTTGTTGTTGTTGTTGTTCTCTGCCAAAATGATGATGATGGATCTTTCACCCCTCGACGTGATGGCATCTTGCCACGGATAATGCTTTATTCGTTAAGGAGAGAGAGTAGTTTTTGTTGTTGTTGTTGTTGTTCTCTGCTACAGGCATGTGCTCGGGGATTTTCGTTGAGGTTGTGTGCGCCGCGAGTTTCCGCCTCCCGGTCGCTATCTTTCGCTGCGAGGAGAAGTGTGTGGAAGCCCTCTACGCGGAGGACGACAGTAAGATGCAGTGCGGTAAGAACACACACACGCATACACACACAGTGTTCAATCTCCTGATCAGTCGGTGAAACTTCGTCGAAACAGTCTGACAGAGTCCATCTTGTGGGGTTGTGTATAGCGAACATGTCGACACACTGAATGTGATCAAACCTAAGGAGGGATGAATCTCACTAAATGAATGAACCCCCTCGAATGCCTTCTCTTCCCTCTCCCCCCGCCGCTCTCCTTCCCCCCCCCCCCCCCCCCCCCTTCCTCCTTCGCTTGCGCTCTTTTGACGCTCCCTCTTATCTGGGTGAATGACCGGTTGTCTATTGCTCTCTCTCTCTCTCGCGCGCGCGCGCGCATTCTTTGCACAAATCTGGTTAATGACCCGTTGTCCATTGCTCTCTCTCTCTCTCTCGCGCGCGCACGGGCGCTCTACTTTTCTTCATTGCGCTCCCCCTCCACTCTCGAGCTAACCGTTACTTGTTTTCTCTACCCTCAGGTCGTCCAGGATT